TGTACCGTGTGTACTGAAAAATTAAACCCATCTTGATTTTGAAAGGGGAAAAATAAATGGGGAAAATTGTTTTTGTAAAGAAGTTGTGAGAATATAAGTGGGCTTTATGAACAGAACATCAGCCAAATTATGAAATATCAGGAAGTTGTTTTTCTCATCACCTGCAGAGCTTAACAAGTCTCATCTAGATAGCAAACACACTGACAAATAGATTTTTACATAATCCAACTCACATACTCTGCAATCTTCAGGCTAAAGGTTATATAAATTTTGTGAAAACACAAACATCTTGTTAAGCTTGATGTTGTTTAACCTTTGCACCCTCCCCCCCACCCCCACAAGCTCGTGTGGTAGTATGGCTGTGTATCTTAAGATTCTCCATTAGCCTGAATGTGACCTGTGCGTTAGTTAATTAACCCTGTTCTACCTCCGCACACTGACTCTGGGTCAGTTTAAATCACAGTTCTGACTCGCTGCCAATCAGAATCCTCAGGCCTGGAGTAGGAAGTAGATTCCCTATACACCAGCTTCACATATAGACAGGTTAATCTGAGAGCCGCACAGAGGGACAGAAGGTAACAAACACCTTTAACTTAAGCTGTGAAGTTGTGTTGTTGTTTTATAAATTATTGATGCAGTTTACATTTTTTATGTGTTCAGGTTTGCTTGAAACTGCTTAAATTATGCAATAAGCTTAGTCATGAAACTCTGTATATGTAGTGAGGAGTAATCTTCACAAAAATAACAGTTCGGTATGTACCTCAGTTTTGAAGTCATGGTTCACTACATTTCGGGGCATCAGGCGGTTATAAAAACAGTGCCCAAACTATTACATTCAACTGCGATTTATTTTTAGATATAATAATCACTACGCAAATAAATGTGTGCAAACATGTAAATTGCCCATAAGGCAGTTTTTACATGAACTTTTAAATCTAATTATAAAATTATAGCTAGACAGTAGCCGTGGCTAAGCTTGGCCACCCCTTTGCCATCTTGCTCACAATCGCTGCTTCTGTCTTTTTCCATGAATTGTGATTGTGTTTATGTAGACACAGAACCTTCTTTACAACCACAACGAACAGAATATTTTCAGGCATGCACTCCAACTTTGCCTCAGTGACAGGCGCTGAGTCAAAGTCAAAGAAGTGTGGAAATGGCACAGGTGCCGAGGGAGCTTCAATAGAAAAGCAGTGAATGATTAACAGTAGATATTCGAGATCACAGTTAACACAACATAGTTAATACAACATGATTAAATATGGAGGGAGTGAAAGCACCATCAAAACTTTGCATGCATGCATGCATGTGTTTGTTTGTTATATATGCGTCACATTTAAGGATATGTCTCTTAAATGTATGGACTTAAATATATTGCCATGTGAGATCACAATGTCACAAATTAATATGTAAATGGTGATCTTTAATTTAACACACCATTAAATATGAACACAGTGCATTTGTATTAGAAAATAGGTGTCAATTTTGATGTTTAGTTGGTAAAGTGTTAATGAAAATTAGATGTTAAATATTTAATATTTTTGAAGCAGACCTTACAATCTAACTCAAAACTGAAGAGCATAGATGAGGTCTTTGAATAATCTTTGAACTATGCAGTTATCCTCATGTCTCATCCATACAGGATGTAATGATGGATAAATATATATAAAGCAATTTTTAAAAATCTTGTTGCTGCCTAGCATTGTCATGGTAACATTCCAGGTGAAAATAATGAGGAAATTATGTTGTCTTTCATTGCTCCCTTCGCCAAGTGCATTCCAAATGGAACTATGACACACAAGTGCCCTACTCCGTCCAAAGTCCACAATTCAAGAGCTCTGCCCTTCGGAGAGAGTAGGGGAAAGGGATGCTCACTTCCAATTAGAATTTGCCCATGAAGTCAAAACTTTATGAGCATGATTGTCACGCATTTACAGTAGGCCTATTTACAAAACATACTTTTAAGTAACATAATAATACAGAATGTTAATTGGGTCATTCCTGGTATTTGGTGCCTTTTGGACATCATAAAATTTTGAAAATCAAACACAGGTTTTAAAATAACTTTTTGTGTAATAATGATAGGTGATTATATGATGAAAATGTATTTTGGTCAAGCTGAAGCATTTATGAAACAAAATCTGAAATTGAAGACCAAAAATGTCCACCCTGTTAGGGACAAATGAAGGGAACAGGTTAAAATACTTTAATGTATGGGCATTGTGTACATTATCTTAGAAATCTCATGTCCCTTTGTCCATTTAAAAGCTAATCAGGTAATAAATTATAAAAAAAAATAAATAAATAAATAAAAAGGTATTTTGTATGAATCGTAGTTACTTTATTGTCAATACTTATTTTTTCCTTTTTTTTTTCCTGATGCAAATGCATAAAATATGTTTCCCAGGTTGCAATGGTCATGCAGGTTTGTTTACGCAATAAACCCATAGCCATGAGAAAACAATATTGTTCCCTCGACATTAGAATTCGTGGCCACGAGAAAAAGATGTCGTTCCCTCTACATAGGATCTCATGGCGATGACATGTCGTGTCGATTTCTTTACCTGGACAAAATTATCTTGTGGCCAAAATATGCTAAGACGTTGCCACAAATTAATATGTTGTGGCCACAACAAAACTAAGTGAACTGAACATTTCCCCTAGCACAGACTAAAAGATCAGTCTTGGGATTTAAGAATCAATATTGATTTGTGAAGATGAAATGAAGATTGAAATGAAGATATATAAATCTAGGAATTTCAGAAAAAAAAAAAAAGTTCCACACATATAGTGGTTAAACTCTTTGATAACAGTAGATGGGTGAACGTGTTTTGCATCTTAACTGTCACAGTATGTTGTAGAATTATTCTGCTGTACATGTCTTTTTCATATGATTGCAGCTTTGACTAAAATATATTTTCAATGTTTGTTTGTTTATTTAAAGTAATGAAGCAACACATAATTAATTGCTGAAGTTGCTTTACACTAATCAAATTCTGACTTCCAACACACACTGTCATAAAAAGGAGGGTTAATATAAATGATTGTCACACCCCTGTACTGTTTGTTGTGTTTTCTTTCCCCATGTGCTCTGCGTGACCTAGTTTCTGTCTCCCGTTCATTATGTCATTTGGTTCAGGTGTGTCTAGTTAATTATCTTCATTTGTCAGCATATATAAGTTGTGTTCTGTTCACTGTTTTCTGTCAGGTAATGTTGATGTTACCCTGTGTGTTAGACCCTTAAAAGTGTTTTTGTTATAATCTTCATCATGCCTTCATCTCCCTAACAGCAGTCGTGTGACAGAATACCGGACCCACAAAGAATAAGTAAGCGGTGTCTCGCCCTCGTTTTGTTTTCCGTTTTTGTCAGTTTTTATTTTTAATTATGGATACAAGTCCTTCCCCTTTTGGAATGTGCTTTTGAGTTCAGCCAGCTCGCCGTTTTAACAGCTTTCCACGACGCGTCGCTGAACTCACTGTTCTGGATCAGGGCTAATCACCATTGGCCCGTTGACCTCCCAGACACCACCAGACTGTACTGGAGGGAGGCAATCATCCGTTGTCTGGGGAGCGTCTACCCCCGATCCAGAACACAGCCAGACCAGAGCCCACCGATGACGGATAGCCAAAGCTCACATCGTCCCTCCGGCTCTGTCAGGCTCCTCCTTCCCTCCGGCTCCACCTTGGTCCTCTGTCGCTCCGGCTCCACCACGGCCTTCCAGATCCCTGCCTCCGCCTTGGCCCTCTGGATCCTCCCTGTCGCCCTGGCTCTTTGGCTCTCCGTCTCGGGCTCCACCACCACCTGCTCCGCTGCCGTCGGTCGGCCCCCTGGAGCTGTCAGCCCTTCCTCCACTATGGCTCCTCCCTCCATCAGCTCCATCGGGCCGCCATCATGGCTGTGGCCTGGGTCCTGCCTGGCTCCTCCAAGTCCCTCCTGTCTCCTCCCTGGCTCCTTCATCCATCTGATCCGCCCTGGTCCCTTATGTCCCCATCCTGGCTCCTCCCTCTGTCATCTCCACCCTGGACTCTGTTTGTCGTCCTCCTCCCGGGTGTCCGTCCTCCGGCCGAACCGCCACCTGTATTGTCTGCCTGCCTTCCTGCCAGCCCTTTGCCATCCTGTCACCATCCCTTATCCACTCCTTTGTCCTCCTCCTAAGTCCCCCTCCGTCCCTCCCTTTGTTGTTTCTGTGGCGCGAGGTCGCGCCTTCCGGGAGAGGGGGTGAACTGTCACACCCCTGGACTGTTTGTTGTGTTTTCTTTACGCATGTGCTCTCTGTGACCTAGTTTCTGTCTCCCGTTCATTGTGTCATTTGGTTCAGATGTGTCTAGTTAATTACTGTATCTTCATTTGCCAGCCTACTTAAGTTGTGTTCTGTTCACTGGTTTCTGTCCGGTATTGTTGATGTTACCCTGTGTGTTAGACCCTCTTCTTTGTGTGGATTACCATTAAAAGTGTTTGTTATAATCTTCTTCATGCCTTCGTCTCCCTAACAGCAGTCGAGTGACAATGATCAGTTGTGTTTCCTAGACGAAAATTGTTGCTTGATATTTGATTGCTACTTTTGTTTAAGTCTCCTCTCCTCTCCTTTCACATGTTTCTACTGAGAAGAAACCTTGATAATTTGGCATGTGTCTCCTCTAGAGTTTGTGAAGAAATCTCAACAATTTCTCATACATTCTTTGAGGGAATTTTGTCTTTGAAAGTCAGTTTGAATGTCTTTCTTTTTTTTTCTTCTTTTTGAGCTCTGTTGCCCACATTATATTACTCTTACTGCATGTCTACCATTGTCTCGTTTGTCTTTATTTTTTATTTCGGAATTTTAAGATAATCATCATTTATCAAGTTGATACCTAAACAAAGCATAACCTAACCATTGTCTCCTGAACTGTGAGAAAGCAACCTCAAAAAGCAAAAAAAATAAAATAAAAATCACTGATATGACCACTTTTCTAAATGTTCCCCTCTGAACTCTTCGTCTGTTTTTGGTTATATCCTGCAGGGCAACTGGCAGCAGGCACCTGTGAGATTGTCACTCTAGACAGAGACAGCAGTCAGCCACGCAGGACGATTGCCAGACTGACGGCCCGCTGTGCATGTAAGAAAGGACAGATTGCTGGGACAACGAGAGCAAGGCCGGCCTGCGTGGACGGTAAGATCAAATTTGGGGAAACTGTCAATCAAAAGTACTACATACCAGTCTTCTTTTGTCATACCTCTAATGGTTTGTGCGTATGGTTGGCCATAATTGCTACCACATATTCTCATATTTATTACAATAATGTACAATATACAATCAGATGACTGCTGATATCTGTTAAAATAGTGTTTCTAATAAGTGTCTTGGAAAACACAGTGTTTGTCAAGTGCATAAAAGCCACCCCAGTGCAATTGAAACAGCCTCAGACATGAAGGCATTGGGCAAAACTGCCTCCGACATAAAGGATTCAGATGAAATGGCACTAGACAAAACTTCAGAAATACTATGTCATTCATAAAGAGCTGCATTGGCCATCGGTCCAGGGTGCTTCCCTGTCTGCGGCCCGAGAAGCTGGTATACGCTACAGGATCAGGAGTGACCCTGCAAAGGACAAATGGCTGGAAAATGGATGGATGGATGGATGGAAGAAGTTTCAAAATTAGTCTTTTATAGAGTATACAAGAAAAAGGTGGCACAAAATACAATGCTGCTACAGTATAATCAACAGATGTGCTTAAAAAAAAATATATATATATATATATATATATATATATATATTTGAATTGAAAGTGTTTTGCACTGACACATGAAGCAGTATATGTGTGTAAAGGCCTGGAACCCATGTGCCTGTATATGAATTATGTATTATTGTAGCTGTATAATATGTAAAATATGAATAATATTATAAATAGAAATAATGTCAATATTCACTGCTTCAAGTGTCATTTGTGCTATATAAAATTTACTTTTAATTCTATACATTATATGCTGAAATTATATGTATGTTACATGAATCACATAAATGATTAATGAAAAACAGTAAAACCCATCATTGATGAGTGCTGTTAGACCACTGAGGCAGACAAAAAAATGTAAACTTTTTTTTTTCTTAACTTTTTGTCATCCTAACAACATACTGAGCAGTTTGTAATGGAGGACAGCAGAGCACAATGAAGAATATCCCCGATAATGTCCACTGGGGTCACAGGACTGGATAAGAACCTTTTTTCTTGTAAGCTGTTTAAAAGCATCCTTTTAAATTAAACTTAATATGAATGACATTTTTAAGGTTTCGTCTGATGCCATTTCATGCAATGCCTTTAGGTTGTTTCGCCATTATACAAGACCTGACACATGACATTTTTCCTGTGGCCTGAAGGTCTGAGGATGTCCTAATATGTACACCGTACATGTGGCTTGCTGAGGAGACATGCAATCACTTTTTGAAGTAATCAGAAATATGCTTTTTGATAAAACAAATAAAAAACTGTTTTATTTGTTTTTTTTTTTGTTTTTTTTTGTGAATTTGGGGCAGTTGGTAACCACCTTGAAGATCTAAGTCAAGTTATGTAAGTTTTAATTCTACAGTGCTTTTCAAAATATATATATTGTTTTGAAACATTTGTTTAGATTTGCATTACATGTTCGATATTGTTCTAGAAAAGTGTACAAAAGCAGTTCACAGTCCACCAGAGGGGATAAGAAAGGAGAGAAAAAAGTGAGAAGTAGAAAGAGACATAAAATTTCAATCAGTTTAATCGCCTGGAGTCCTCAGGGTCTCAGCACAATTGTCATATGTGATGAAGCATGCTGTGTCCTTCAGTCTGTGGAGGTCAGTCCATCCATAGACCGGGTTGGAAATGACCATTGATGACCATTTCTTAAGGTTTATTCATACCGAATGTGAGTGGCATGAACTGTCAAAGGGAACCCATTCCTATTCACACATTTTCAGTTGAAGGAGTGTTTGTAGAATAGCAACATCTGTTGTATTAGGTGAATTCAGTCTCTGAAATTATTTGTGTTGATCGCAAAACTAGAACCGTTTATACCGAAAATATTTGGAAACAATGATGGGAGCACTATGTTGCAGAATTGAGGGTGAAAACCAATGGAACAATTATGTATATCATTATATGTATCTCATATACAATTATGTGTCTCATTTACTTGATTTCAGTAGTGTTTTGGGGTGTCCTATTTAAAAACATGTGAACATATTGCTCACAAAGCTATGTCCTTGTGTTCCTTGTTTTGTGCTGCATTGTGAGCAGTCCAAAAAAAATTACATTTCAAATTGCATGTCAAAATTGTGTAATTGATTCATTGGTTATCCACCTAGAGGACATTGTTGACTTTCAAGTTGCATTAATATTGACACCGTTATCAGTAATTTCATGCCTTCTGGTTCATCTTCATGTGGAGTAATGTGTCAGTCTAGAAATATTGACCTGTATCAATATGGAGAGGAAAGAAAAAAAATGTCACCCTGAGCAGTATGAAATGATATTTCAAGCAAACATCTCTAAAGGCCGGGACACACCAAGCGGACTTCAAAGAACTAGCGGCGACGAAAGCCGACGGTGTTGTCGCCTCACGTCAGCAGCGTCGGACCAAAAAGCTGCGCTCGAACACACCGCACAGACTACAGCCGACGGCAAACTATCACGTGCGTTCTGCGCATGCGTGAGAGGAATTAACTGTCTATATCAGCAGCTATCAATAGTATATATTCGTCATTCAAAAGGAGAAACCGAAACAAAGATATACGAGATAAACGCAGATATACGAAACGTAAACAAAGCAGCGCTTGCTTACCATTTTGAATATCAGTAACGTTGATAACTTTAATTATTTTAAGCGGCTCATGTTATGAAAACATTCGCGTATTAGAATGATTGGTAAATCATGGGGAATCATTGGGATCACGTAACATTTAAACAGCCTTCTGTCTGTACCACCTTCATTTGCGTGCTTGTTTTCATCACTTTTGCTTTAATTCTCGGGCACTGACTCGTTCGCTAAACTGAACATCCAATCAGAGCTCTCACTTGCGCCGACGGTCCCGACGGCCCCGACGCTGATTCAACATGTTGAATTGGGCAAACTGCCGCCGAGTGGAACACACCAAACAAACTAGCCCGACCTTCGCTCGCCGTCGGCCCGGCCTTAAGTCAACTCTTGTTGAATATGTGTTGAATATTTGTGCAGATCAAACCTCTGGAAAGAAAAGTGTGGAGGATTCTGGGAATGATAGTTGTTGACTGTGGTTTGTAGTGGTTCTAATGCTACATTATACTTAACCCATATAGTCACTTTCGCCAGACTGAGCACATAACTAACACTGAAAACCCTACATGCAACTAGAAAGCAGATAACAGAATTACTCAGATTATTCATGGAGGTGAACTGAAATGCATTGTGGGATTGCTGTTGAAAAAAAAAGTCACATGTTGCAAGTAACACAAAGCTTATTGAATTATGAAATCAACAGTGGCAATGCACATAACACAACTACACAAGCTCATTAGTGTTTATAAGTAAAATGCACACCGTAAATAAAAACTGTAAGAGGCACACATTATATTTACATTAACCTAACACTGTGTTCATGCATTTACTCATTTGTATGGTTCCAATTATTCTGTTTTCGGCGGTCACAGAACAATGTCAAATCTTACGTCTTTGGGCCAGATTTACTAACAGCTTGCGTCAGCGCAAACCCGCGACTGTCAGGATTTACTAAAGACATGCAGCAAGAAATAAGCGATGAAAAGGTGTGGACAGTCATTTTTGTGGCTGACCTTATTTGCATATGCATTTGCAGGAGTGTCCCTTTCAGGTGCAAAATTTATGGGAGGAGAGTATTTAAATGAATCACGCAATATGATTTACTAAGGTTTGCACTAGTCAATTCACTGGTATTTGCGCCATTATTTAACACCCCAAAAAAGCATGTCTTAACTAATTTTTTGCTTGACAGGCTGCTATTGTTTCTGTCAGGAGGAAGCACCGCAGAGAACAGAGAGTGTGTGGTAGAAGGGAGAGAATTTTTTCTACACATTAATTTATTTGGAATGCCAGAGGAAGACATTATCCGAACATATCCTTGCGCTACTCTTTGTAGATTGCGTTGGTCATTATGGAAATGAGATGTTGTGTCTGTGTTCTTTAATTTGTGCATTGTCAGTAGATCACCCACAGAACTTTCCACTCCTGTCTGCGCTTTTATGGAATTGCTCTCTCCTCTCGTGCTTTGTTTAGTAAATCTGGCCCTTAATGTCTTAAATGAATGGCATTAAATGGTAACAATAAGGTTAAATTTTGTTCATTATAGTTAATGCATTTAGTAACATGAAATAGTCATACATTTGATAACTTGATTTGATAACAGTATCTGTTTGTTCATAGTACATAAAGTAATGTTAATTTATGCTTGTTAAAAATGAATGAATGTATAATGAATATAAATCTATATTATTAAATTAATCTATATTATTAAATTACGCAAAAGTATTGTTGTCACAAACAGCATGAGACTGATTTAAACTTATAACACTCTGCCCAAAAGGGAGAGGCTACACAAGGCAAAAGGGGTATTTATCCTCTAAGTGGTTTGTTTTGCTATACAAAGAAATACAGAAACAGCCAAACAAAATAAAATAACGTCTTGGGTTACTTGACTGTAACCCTGTTCCCTGAAAAAGCGGGAATGAAATGCTGCGTTTCAATAACGCTTATAAGAGCATTCTTTGTTCGACCGGTTGTGAAGCATGTGTGTCAAACATGCCAAGAATTGGCTTAAATAACCTCAGGTGACGTCATTTCATTACGTGCAGCTGAGGGGTTATAAATAGACGTGAAACGGACACACCTTCAGGTTACACATTTGTCTGAAAGGACGTACAGGCACGCCTACAGTGCGGCATTGAGGCACAGCATCTTGTTCCCGCTTTTTCAGGGAACAGGGTTACAGTCAAGTAACCCGAGATGTTTCCTATCAAAAGCTGCTCTTGATGCTACGTCAAGTTCAATAACGCTTATGGGAACGAGAATACCAACGCCACCGCACTGGAAGTGTCTGGACCCCGCCCCCCCAGGTTGTGTAGTGTGTGTGCACAACCATTGAAGAGGTCTCAGACATGACTCTGGGATGTTGACTCAAGGAGACA